ATAAAGATTATGCATTCTTATGTTACTCAATGATCTCATCAGTCATTAGTAGATTTTGTATGGTGTATTAATGCAAATTAGGATTAGTCACTAAATTAGATACTATTTCTGTTCAATTAACTAACTGAACAGTTTAGTTAACAATAAAACGCCGTTCATGTTAGCGCTTACCACCAAATAAAATCTATAACTTCAAAAGAACCTCTTATTTTACATCAGATTCGCCTTTTTTTAAAACAAACCTGCATACTGTAATGAAAATGATATTTGTAGAATAAAAGAAAATTATATTTTATTCACTTGGTGTTGTTTTACTTGTATCTTCCCATTGTTATTTAGACTGTAATTGATCAGTCACATGTATGACATATGTGCATCCTGTGCGGATTGCATCGATATAGTCTTAAGTCACAAGCTTGTTAAGCAAAGATGGATAGTTGCTAGTAGTGGAATCCAGTTTGACGCGCGTTTCGTCCTATTTGGGACTCGTCATATGGATGTACCTGCATCTCAGAGTTGATGTTCACTTCAGGACTCGAACCCACTACTATTCGCTCCAAACGCCATTGCGTTATCCACTTAGCTACTGAGCCCTCATTATTGTTTATTTCTTTGAATCCTCACATACATATGATATAGTAAGACAATGTTCTTAACAAATACAATCTAATCACCGTTAATTATAGTGTACATTAACTAAATATTGAAGTATACTTGAAGTGAACGAACGCTTAGGTGAGGGCAATTAATTTATTGTTTAATACAAAATTACAGAATGTCTTCGTAAAATATGAGAACCATACATTAAATACTTCATTTGCAAATCTTTCATCAACCGTGCTTCACATTCTATATGATTCTCCTGATTCATAATTCTTTTCTATTCCCTTTTCTGTTTTTCTCAGCTCAATAGTCTTAGTCTTCTGTCAGGTTTTCCATCTCTGACAGGTGTTACATATTACTTACGTCTATGCACATAAATAGCATACGGCGCGTACTCAAGGACGATATTAAGATCTCCCTGAAATAAAAAGTAACTTGAGCATTTAATTTATATAGTGAGAACATCGAATATTAATGTAGATTCGATATAGTTATAATACATATATATAGTGTTACTTGTAGTGTACTGAATAGTGAGGATTTAAGTAATCAGTGCAGATGCTTTGATAGACTTGTCTAAACTATCTGCAATACAATAACTTAAATACCGTTGAAAAATTTCGTCACAAATTTCAATACAGTCGCCATATTTAAGACCACATAAAGGCTTCCAAAGAAATATACTTGGTACGATTTTTTGAATTAACAAACTTGACCAAAGCGTGAACAACAAACGTAGCAGAATTAACATGTATTCAGTTTATTTCGTAGATTTTCTTCAGCTTCTGACAACCCAAAACATAATGGTATTCATCATTTGAAAACAGTGTATATACTTTATATCATAATACTGCTGAAGTTCTCACCAATGAAGACTAGTAAAAAGAACAAGAAGTGAGAACTATAAGTATAGAATTATAAGATGTTTTACAATTATATGGATGGATTTCTCTATTGAACATCCTCCTATGGTGTGTGCTACTGATGTCGACAGATATAAGTAGTATGTATCATCAATTTAGAGTGGTGTTGTCGTTCACTACACTCCGGCTATAAGATAGAAGAACTGACATTCAAACTCAAGATATTCATTGTTTAAATTTTTCAAAATGTAGGTAATTTTTAATTCCTTTCTTTTCAGATTGTAAATTTCTCCATCATATTACGTAATGAAACAGGTCAAGAATTAAGTCCAATATAGCCCTATTAATGAGTGGATAACATATACTTGCCAGATTTTCTAATCATTTTCATGTTAGATGATTTATACTCATGCTTATTCTTATGTTTAACATCTACATAAGTGTGTTACTCTGATAGGAGAAAAAACCTATTCTACTAGATAATCTTATCTTTTGTGTCAAATCAACTACAATGCTTATATTATAACCATCGGATCTAATGAGTAGCTATTATTCAGACATTTCTTACTATTACATAACATTTATTGATTAGCTTTAAATTCATTCACTAAACAATCTGTGAACCTGTTCATCAAATTCACACCATAACATTAACATTAATCTTAATTTCTAAAAAAGAATGAAAAACTGTCCAATTTAGAAACATGATTTCATTGCATAACAATAAATTACTTTCTCATTAAATAACAAAGAATGTTGTAACTAACGAAAAAAAACATGGAAATTGTTTTTTTGTTTTTTTTTTGCTGTTCAAATAATTAATTAATTTTTTGCACTAAAACATACTTGAAAATGAAGTTGGACACAGGTATTTGCAAGTGAGTAAATTCTTGTATTAGTTGTTTGAATCTTCTCATTAATTTTTAGGACTGCAATCAATCAGCCTCTTATTGGTATATGTATATCCTGTACAGATTGCCTAATTATGGTCTTAAGTCACAGGCATTACAAGTAGTAGCTAAGTGGATAAGGTTATGGCATTTGAGGTGAACGGCACTTGGTTTGAGTCCTGAAAAGAACATCAACTTTGGGATGCAAGTACATTCAGCTAAAGAGTCCCAAATAAGACGAAACGCGTATTCTAAATTCCACTGCTAGCGAACATCCATCTCTGCTTAGATTGTAAATTCGTTTTTATAAGGTTTGTTTTTATCCTCATAAAAAATTTCTCATAGTAAACTTTTTAATGATGTTACTATGCATTAAAAAATGGGAAACATTTTTTTCAATGAAAAATAAACAACTTTATCTCTTTTTGTTAATGTAACTGTATCAGCATTTTGTTAGTTAGAACTCTTAAATATACATAAATTATATTGTACGCTTGTGTACTATGAATTATTTGATATTTCTAACAGTAAGTTTGTAATATCATAGCGTAAATTCATTCTAATTGACTATAAGCAAATTATACACATGAAATATATGTTTACCTTTAGGTTGATATAGTAAACATTATAAATTTTCAATCACTAAAACTCTGTAAATAGTATAAATACAGAGTATTCAGAAGAAAATTTGAAACAAAAAAGGGTTTTGTGGATATTGTAGTAGTTTAATAGTTAGATTTATGAGTCGATGTAAGCTAGACTACTACTGAAAATCTGGAAGATAGTGGTGGACGGTGGCCTAATTTCCTAGATTGGTTGTAGTCACACATTAACACCGTTGGATACCGGCTTAGTGGTCTACAGGTTAAGCGTTCGCGTGTGAGACTGATGATCCTGTAAGTCAAGTCCCGTGAGCGGGACTCGTAACTGAACTTCTCAAATGGAAATAAATTTAACTATATACTTCAAGAACTAGCCTAATAATATATACGAAGTTGGAAGATCGTTTATACTTGGAGTCAGAGAAAATTCTTTCTGAACTATATAATAGAAAATCAATTAGTATTACCACTTTATGTTCTTATAAGTTGTAATGAAATACACTTCAGTTATTATTGGTATTCAACCCTCTTTGGATGAGTGCACAGTTGATCGTCGATTTAATCTTTAGAATAGTATTCGTTTTTGAAAAAAATAGAATTACATTAACACCGACTGTTCAAAAATGTCATATGATTATAATCCGTCAAGCTTCAAAGTGTTTTTTAATGTATTGATCAAAGTAACAGTTATCTGATTCATCACTTCTTAAAACCCTATATATGAGACCTTGCATAGAATTTATGGTGCGTAACTGACCACTCAGCCATTTATTCTGAGTAGAATGAACTACACTATTTAGCTTTAATCAATTTATAATATGTCCATGGTGATCAGTCTTTACTTCAGATATCATAAACCTATTTTTTATCAGTGTCCTACTTAGATCTCAAGACAACTATCTGTATACAGGTTACTGATGTATAGTGAATTACTATTTCCGTACTTGTTGTGAACAGAAAAACAAGAAGCCCCGACAAACTACGAAAGCTATTTTTCGGGACGTTATTCCATTTTATTCAAAGCTCGTAATACATTGACATTTATTTTTTGTCCCTAATCTATTCTACAAAACATAAGGTTTCGTTCAATGTGTGATTCACTGCCATACCCTTTTTTGTTCCGAAGCTATTGTAATTTAAACATAATATTTTTTTCACCCTATTTTCTACTCTAATTCCCAGCTTTGGACATAACTGTATTTTTCCAAATTATTGTACGTTGTGGTCGGGATATTCACTTATTTATTCATGTACCTTTTTACACTGAACTGAACTGAAATCAGGATATCAGGAATAGATCGAGTAGTGTTCCAGTTGTCTTGTCTTCTTTCATTCACGTGCTTGCCAGCCAATCAGGTGATAGAATAGTTTTCTCTCTACCCCGGTTCGAACTCACGCGTACTAGCCTCAAGGTTAGATCGGTCAGCTTATCGCCCAAGGTCTTAATCTGAATTAGACAGTAACCTCAGCACCAAGAGTGATTAGACAGACCAAAGTACATAACAGTACTTATGAAGCTCTTTCATTTAAGTCTGTAATGTTTCGGTTATTTCCCTATTGGATATCCATCTTTTATACTGGTAAGCAATCATAAATGAAAAGATATATACTTTATTCTACAAATATTTATTCTATGAAATAGAAGACATCTTAATCAATGTAAAATAAATCGAAAATATCTGACAAATTCAGTTGTGTTAGTTTTTTCCCTTCCTAAATGATTATGTAACAATAATTTGTATGGAATCAAGAGGTTTCATTTAGTTGTTTCTATCTATTCTATTCTGTAGTTGAATGAAAACGTTCATTGATTTCCTTAGGCTATTTAATTAAGACTATATAACTATTGTTTTAGTAATGATAATTATTTACAATATATACTGTAATGTATGCTACTTATGTTTACGGATATAAGTAGTATGTAACACCAGTAGAAATTAGAAAACCTGATCGTAGAAAGTTGAGAAAATTGCAATGAAAAGAAGAGAGAAGGAAACTAAAAAGCAATCATTATAACAACAGAAATGAAGGAACAATCAGTCTTGTAACAGATAATTCAAAGATGTATGATTTCGCATTCAGAAATGAATTGGTCTTCTTCGCCTTGAATTTTCGTTCATTATAACACTACTGTCAGTTTTGATTATAAAAAGTCAATATTTAATATTATGCAATTATTGTTTTCTCATCATGCCATACATGACATTTATCAAAAGACCATGTAATAATTAAGCATAAACTCGAGACAAATAATAATGTTAATGGCCAAAATAATGTATCAAACATTGTTGATGGTCCATAGAATTTATGTAATAAAGCTTCATTAATATGATCTTCATGTACATAACATGTAAATTGTACAGTATTTTTAATTAATTGACAAAAATTTTGTACCCATTCATGGTTTGCTGAATTCTGACGATGACATGAACTGGTAGCACACTAATAATGAAGAAAAAAAAAGAAAATGAAATCAGACAAAAACTTTATTAAACGGAATACACCCATTAAGACATTAAATAAGAAAGATTAGTTCAGTGAAGAGTTCCCTTTTCGGTGGATTCATTTTCAAAGTTGTACAATCGTAAATATACATATACTTATTTCTACAGGATGATAATATTACCGATAATAAACTTCTGTTAGACATGGTGACAGTGAGGTTAAATAAACAAAGGTATTAAAATAAAAAAATTTTATAAAGCAAGCAAAGTTTAATAATCGTTTGATTGTTAATGTCTTAAGTATTCACCAAAAGATAGATAGAGAAGTTATCATTAGGAAAGGATGGCTCATCATGATAAGTTAAAATGTTGAAGTTGAGATTAAATGTAATCAGAATGATCGTGGAAACAAAAATAAACCAGTTGGGGGTAGAGGATTTTAAGGGGAAGATAGAAGGTGAAGCAGATGGCTGTAAAGGAAAAAGAGAAAAAAATTATAAGACATTAAGACCATGGTAAAAGAAGAAGTTGTACCAGTCTCTCATGCATACACAATTCTGATTTTTCCAGATGTATGGCTAACGCTAAGAACATGCAGTCTAATTGTCTTCGGAAGACTTGTACTTACCATGTAGATGACTTTGAACGCAGATTCTGTCTTGATTGGGTGACCTGTGTTCACAAGGTGTTCGATTGTTGAACTTCTTATTGAAGCGCTCTTGATGAATACGTAAGCCATTAATAATCAAACGAGTATTAAACTTTGCTTGCTTTATAAAAAAATTTTTTAGTACCTTCGTTTATTTAATCTCATTGTCACCATGTCTAACAGAATTTTATTATCAGTATTATTATCATCCTGTAAAAATAAGTATAATGTATATTTGTGATTGTACAACTTTGAAAATGAATTCGCCGAAAAGAGAACTCTTCACTGAACTAATTTTCCTTATTTAAAAACTTTATTTCTTTATATTTTAATATTTTTCTATCAGAAATTGTTGGATAATATAATGAGAAAGCTGGAATTATCTAGTATTGCTATGCACTTCGAAGCAATCCGATGACACATTTACTTGTTATTGCGATTATTTATTTTAAAAAATAGGTCAACTAAACAAATCGCATATAAAAGAGGTTAAGCGCTTGCACGCGAGACTGATAGGTCCTGGGTTTGAATTCCGCTGGGTGGAATCTTGGATGAGCACTGCTGTGGAGTCCCATAATGGGACGAAACGGTCGTCCACTGCCTTCAGATTTTCCGTGGTGGTCTAGCTTTAATTGACTCATGAATTCAACTATTAAATTACTACAATCTCCACAAAACCCCTTTCTGATAATATAAAAGATCCAGGAAAATATTGATGTAAACAATTTAAATCAGATCACTTTAGATAATAAATCAATGTTATCAGGATAGATTTAGTGTAAGTGCAAACTGTTTTTGAACATATAAGAGAGGTTGGAACTTATTTATGACCAATGCTTCATGAAACCTCAGTATTTTCCGTAGACACCTTCCGTATAAAACAATAAAGGCCAAGTAAAAAAATTAATCTCATGAACTGTTTCATGTAATTCTAATAATCTTCATCTTCTCAGTGTGTTATATGAATCTATCAAAGAGATAAATTGTCTTAGATTACGAATTTTTAATTAACCGACTCAGCATTATTAAAGAGTAATCATCTGTTATCTTCAATCTTTGTAATATATATCTAACTGTAGAACAGTTCATTATAAACCCATTGATTTTCTTTAATTACTCGATATCATTGTGTACTTTATCTAGCTTTAAGTAGTTAGGAACAATTGACTTGAAACTCTGAACCTAAGTTGTAAGATAGAAAGCACTCATCGCCCAAGATATATTTGTAATATTGAAGAAATCGTTGTTTTGTATAGTATTCAAACCTGTGTTACCTAATATACACGGTAAGAGAAATGATTACTCACCTATTCATAGCATAATTCATTTAGCATATTACGTTAACAACGAATATACTTTTTAAGAAGATAAAGTGAGATTATTATAAAGTTTCAATCAGTGATGATTACAAGTGTTAGTTTTGTTTTCGCTTAGTCAGTCAGCAACAACGTAGAACTTCGTACGTACGTACATCAGTTCGAGTTGCCATACCATATTACAACAGAGACGCAGTTGTCGATTCAAATCCCATAGTGGTAGAGGTAGTAAGAGTATAAGCAGTAGGAGGAAAGATTAGAATTTGAAGATGTTATTCAAGGAGTATAATCCAGCAAAATAAATTCGGAAAGAGAAAAAAAAGGAAGGGACATGAAGAATTCAGAATATTCGAATTTAGGAAAACACAAAGAGTGGATTCTTTTGCTCCATTACAAACGATTTTCAGTCATGTCATTCAAGGTCTCTAACCATCGGTTGATATCATCTCGTGGATTGCAATCAGGTAGTCTACACCTACCAACGTGGCCCAGTCCACTTGTCAAAAACTTCATGGATTTGTGCCATATTTTGGTCAGGCCGCCCCTAGCTTTCTTCCAACCTATTCCTACACCATAAAACATCGCACGTCGGGGCAGTCGGTGGTTGGGCATACATAACACGTGTCCCAGCCATCTCAACCGATGAAGTTTCACTAGTTCTACAATTGATTTTCGCTTAAATTAACGATTACTCTTTAATAATAAAAATACAACCCATGTTACCAAATATTCATATTCATTGTTTTAAATAGTAGTGAATATAATCTTTATCATCTTCAAACAATACCCCCTAGATATTAAACCTGATCAGATTTACATACAAACTTCATAAGTTGTGTATGAAAAAATTTTAGAAGAAAACACAAAACTGAGGGTTTCTAAATACATTTTTTTGAAAATCACTTTGCAGCATATAAAATTTGTCTGCATAGAAGTTTGGTGGGAAATTTAAGTATTATTAATATCATGAACGATCTATGTTAGGCAACCAGTGAAAACCAGGATGAACTGAAAAGGTAATTATTTCATCTTAGTAAGGGACTCATTATCAATTGTTATCCATGAACTCATCATCGGCAATCAGATCTGTAACCCTCATTATTGCACGCAAACGCCGAACCTACTTAAAAACATAGCCAAAATCCAATGTTCTAAAGATCAAGTGTTCGAATGCAAAATCCGATGAGCAAGAGTTCAGTCTTTAGAAGTGAGAACGTGAATATACACTGTTCAAGAGTCCTATAATAGAAAAAAAACAACAACTGACTTTCTAGGGATCACTAGCTTTCCATGGTTTTCTATCTTAGGTCTTTTCATGATCTCAATTAATTTAATTAATGGTTACACCGGAAAATGTGGTCAATCTACTAACATCGGTCATTAAAAACAATTAGTGCATGATTCCTAATTATGTCATTATAAATAAGGTGTGTGTACATGCTATCTAATGTTATAAGTAATACAAACTGGTCTTTTGCTAATTCCTTTTGAGTCTAATTTTAAAAATTTCAATGATTTACCAGTTTAACATTATTATGTATATATAATCACTACAATCTTCATTTAATAATAAATTCTCTGCTCAACTTAACGTCACAAATTTGATAATAAGACAGTCTAAAATTTCTGGTAAGAATAATAAATAATTGTAAGGTTTTTACCTTATAACTCTCATGAAATTTGAATCCCGCGAGAGGGATCATGAATGCGCACTGCTGACGAGTCTCATACTAGGACGAAACAGTCGTCCACTAATTTCAGATTTTCCGTGATGGTCTAGCTTTTGATTGACTCATGAATTCAACTATTAAATTACTACAATCTCCACAAAACTGTTTATATGTATATGTATTTATGTATATTATGAACTTGTAATCATCTCATCATATATACTTATTGAATGTGTAATAAATCTGTTTTAATAAAAGTTATAATAGACTATGTTATTCTATCCAAACTTTTGCTACATTTTAATAAAAATAATATTTGAATATAGAATTTATGGGGATTGTTAGACAATTAAGTTAAATCAATTATTGTACGTTTAATCATTATCTGAGATTGTATCTTTTGAACAGAAACAAGTTCACCAACACGGAAATACATGAGAGTTAGGTATTTAGAGATAATCAATATAAATCTCTGCCTGACCTTGATTTCGTGCTACTTAGCATTTGTTAATAAGGTGTACCTGTGATCTTAAATGGAATTAATGATCCCTATTGGATCTAATCAAAGTTAGTCAACTCCATAATTTGAGGTGTCGTCAATGAACTGGGTGACACAGGAGTGAATCCCACGTGGAGTATCAATTACCTCATGGTTATATGTACGTTTTTGACAAGTGTCAAATAACATGAAACCTAGGTTGAGGATAGTTTCTTGCCGACTAGTTCCAAAAGCCTAGTAAATAAACATAATTCATGCGGTAACATGTTACTTTGACTACTGGCCACAATTCAACTTCATAGAGAGGATTTGATCCGTATTAGAGGACTAAATAAGCATGATTTCAGTCACTATTCACTGAACGACCAATTGTAAGTAAACTAGCTGTAGGTTATACATAAAGCACCATAAAATTATTCATGACACGTCAGGAAGAAAATTTTTCACTCAATGTAGGTACATAAAAATCATCATTTCTGTCAGAAACAAACTCTCAGATGCATAATTTAAGAAAAATATTTTAGTCAAACTCTGATATAAATATTTGCAAGCATACGTGATAGTCTTTACTTTTTTACCAAGAATAATTGATGTAGCTTATGGTCTTTGAGCATAGAAAGAATCCCAATGGATAAACTGGATTTTCTGAAACAACTGGTTAGAAGATTTAGTCTAGAATTTGATATACATAACAAGGTAATTGTTACACAAATATTAAGCTAATAATTTACTTAATACAATGTTCCTGATTGACTTGTTATCATCATTTCCAATAGAACTCGATCAGCACCAAAATGACTAGACAAATACATCATTTATCGATCGATACTCAATGGTCAATCAATATGAAGTTTCATCTGTCAGCACGGGAATCAAGGTTGTTGTCAATCTGGGTGTCCTGTTTGAGGTATAAACAACTATTTACCAAAACTAGTTATTGAATACCACAAGAATTTGACTGATTCAATAATCACACGATGTATTTCCAACTACTCCACATTCAATGAATGAAGTTGCAGATGTGAATCGATGGATGGATGGATAGATGGATGGGTGGATGGATGGATGGATGGATGGATGGATGGATGGATGGATGGATGGATGGATGGATGGATGGATGGATGCCGACAAACTGAGTCGATGAGTAAACAACCACTGTGAAACTTGGTTGTTCTGTATTTGATTGGTGATTATGATCAAGGATGAGTAGGGTGGATGAGTTGTACAACGAGAATGAGATAGATGTCATTCTACCACTTTCCAGTTCTCAATTGTTGTCCAACTCAGATGAGTCTGTGATGTGAAGTAGAACGTCTATCATCCAGTTACATGGAATGCTGTATATTACCCAAATTCATTGCATTCAGCTCAAATCAAATAGCGGTATATTGTTGTGAATTTTCTTCGTTAATGATGAATGGCTTATTCTACTGTTTATTGATAAATGTTATTTTACAATTAATGACTTTATCGATTTATCATCAATCATTGTGTCACACTGATTGTGAAAATCAAGCAAATTCGACTTGAAGTGGAACAGGTTTTCATTGTTTGACATTGTGTATGAATGTTTAGTTGCTAACGGGTTTGGAAGGAATTCTCCATCGAAAGTATTATTTACATTTATCAAACCATGGTGTATGCTACTTATGTTTACTTTCCATGATATATAACAGAAATAAAGGTCAACTAGAGAACGGATGCATAATAGAATAATAAGACAAAACTATATGGCAAGAATCATAAATCTGTAGTTCAACTAGAGGAAACTGCGATAACCTAAAATTTTCATATTTTAAATAACGAGCTGATCTGAGACAATCACTGGAAACCTAGAAACACAGTACAGTTGTATCTTTTTAGTATGAAACTACTAAGCAGTTTGCATCCACAACCCCACCACCGAAGATCTAACTCATAACCTACAGTCTCGCATGTGAAAGCTTAACTTCTAGCTCATTAAACTGGTATCCAATAGTGTAAATATTTAATTTTAATCATTCTATTACTTACGGTGGTTAAAAATTTAGCTAAAATCAGTTTGTGGTTTAAACTACCAGAATTTTTACAATTTCCACAACCTCTCACCGTACACTAGCTCAAAGTTTTATTGTCAATTATTTAATATCCAAGACTGTACGGGTCTATTGAGATTATGAAAAGATCAGTGTTGTACAGGTGATTGACTATTTGCATTCAGTAGCTAAGTGGATAACGTGATGGTTATATTGAAACCATTTCATTATTATTTTCCTTGTATTAGTTTATCCATCAAATAATTTAAATTATATACGTCATTTGTAGTAGATATTTTTTCAATTGATCAAATGGTTGATGATTGTCGATGAAGAATTATATTCGTTGTCCAATCTTTAATTTATTAGATAATCATTAAAAACCAGATAGAATTAAATATCTATTTTGTTCTAGTAAGGAGTGTTGTGACGGGCGGTGTCCAAAATCTGATACTGAAACACGATTTACTCCACGCCAACCCCCTTCCCATCTGACTACTCGAGTGAGAATACAAGAATGAGCTAGAAAGTGTGCTGGACTACCAAACAAAATGAACAAATAGTCATTCATATATATATCACTCTAATCCTTAGGAAATTGATCCATTTCTTAGCCGATGAAATGTACTAGTCCTTTAAGTTGCTTATGATTGACATTGATGGACCTTCACATTAGGCTAGTTCTAATTCGCTCCCCATATGAAGGAGCTTTTCATTTGAGGATAATCAAAATTGATAATATTCAATCTTTAAAAAATGTGGGAAACCATTTTTTTTAATTGAAAATGCTTTTAAGTTACTTAGTGTTTGTAACCAGTCGAACAAAAAATGACAATTTTAAGGCATTTGGAATCTGTTGAATAATGCAGATTTGTTAGGATTGTTGTCAATCATATGATGAATGAACTTTGGCTAACTAGTATAAAACGAATAAGCATTGTTTTGCTCACAAATGTTCCATAATATTAATAATAAGCTAAGTGGATAACTTGATGGCGTTTGAAGCGAATGGTACTGGGTTCGAGTTCTAGCGTGAACATCAAAACAGGGATACAGCTACATCCAGCTGAAGAATTCCAAATGGGAGAAAACATGTCTTCTGAATTCTACTACTAGTCACTATCAATCTTTGTCTAAAATAATTGTGTCTTAAGACATTTTTGAGACAATTTATACAAGATACACATATATCAGTAAGAAACTGATCAATTCCAATCTTAACACATCAATGGGAAGATTCAAACAAGCAACACAAAGTGAGTTAAAATGAAGATTCGTTTATTTTTTTTTCTCAAATTAAAACATTTAATCAGCAACCTATATCACTATAGTTAAAATAATTAATATTCTTAACATAAGTTAAGCAACTTATTGTCTAATGAATAGTAATACGTATATGAATAACTGAATGACCCTTTCTTTTATTACTAAACTAATTGCTAAAAAGTTAACAAATTATCTGATATATTACTAACCTATTTACTTAATTCGTTGTGTTAGTATGTTTTATATATTCAACTTATATTGTAGATTTATGATAATCACTCTAACATATTATAAACGATTAATTTTAGATAATCGATGCCAATACTAGAGAGTATCTAATGAATTCTGTTCCCATTTAAAATATTTTTTTTCGCCTGTATATATATATAATATTTCCCCTATAAGCTACTTATTAGAGAAAAGAAATAGATTAATAGAATCTCAATTAAAGTTTAAATAATTCTTGATTTCATTACTCAATTATCATTAATGTTAGATAATTATTATGTTTATAAGCAAAGATATATAGTGGCTAGTAGTAGAATTCAGGACGAGCATTTTGTCCTGCATCTGAGTTGATGTTCACTCTGAGACTCGAACCTAGTACTGTTTGAATTGACTTGTGACTTTAGGTAATATCGAGGCAGTCCACACAGGATACACATATGCCAACAAGAGATTGATCAATTGCATTCTTAAATAACAATAAGGAGATACAGTAAACAATACTAAGTGAATTATTATGTTTATTGAAAAAAATGTCACTTAAGCCAATATGTCAGATTACAGATAATGTATTTTTTAGTATCAAGGGACGGGGTTGAGATTGTGAAACTTGTCAAATTTTATTGAGATTATGAATTGAATTAAGTTAAACAGTCATTGAAAACATGGAAGTAGTGATCATTTATTTTGTCCTAATATGAGACTATTAGATAATGGAAACTCATGACCTCACCACTGAGGATGGAACCTGAGACTTTTAGTCTAACGTTAGAATGCTGAACCTATTGATCAATGAATCAGCATAGAACAATGTACATGTCTAGCTTCGATTGTTGTGGGTATTTATTTAGTTAAAATCAGTTCGTAATTCAACGATTAAAATTTTGCGTTCTCCACAAACCTCTATATTATGAACATTATACCCAACTAATTTACTTCGGATGGTAATAAATTAGAACCACACTAACCTATTGAAATATATACGGAAAATAATCGAAATCATAAAATTTATTCCTATTGAACAGATTTTTAGTCTTTTCGTATATTTAGATAATAAGCTAACATGCTCCAATCCGATTTAATATCATCAGTATAGGGTTGTGGAGATTGATAAGCTTTTGATTGAGATCATGATTCGATGAATGTTAGATCACCATGAAAATCTGGAAGCACTGGACGGCCGTTTCGTCTTAATAAAGGACTCCTCAGCAGTGTATATTCACGATCCCGCATAAGGGATTCGAACCCAGGACCTTCGACCTCTCATTCCTATAATCAGTTAGTGAATACGTTATTTAGTTGCTGTGTCTCTCTCTCTTCTCAGTAAAGAAACAATTTTATTCTTCTCTTTGACATTTTTAATTGGATCCTGACAAATTTTAAAATGCAAGTCTGTGATTATTCAGCATTACATATAGCTTCACTAAAATCTTACAGAGGAAGAATTTACGAAATAAACAAATGAATCCGGGTCAAATGTTATCATAGCATGAAATAAATGATAAAAATTTTTTCGAAAATGTTTAACACTTATTAACATGTCCCAAAGTATTATTTCTATTTATAACTAACTGATCGCTAAATAGTATCCAATGTCATGTTTACTTGGTCATTCTAGTACTGACAGAATCCTATCCACCATGCTGAATTATGGCTAGCAGTCTAAATGACTCGAAATTGTATGTACTATGTCAGGTATTTGGAGATATCCAACAGAATATCCTACCTGACCTTGGTTCTATGTTACGTAGCATTCATCAGAAAGGAATACCCGTAATCTTAAGAAAACTGCCCATTTCAGGTAGGTTTTAAACGCTCACCAAATGTCTCAGTGATATCACCTTTGAGAACATCACTTCTCTCAAGATTAATGGTATTTCTCATTAATGAATGACAACTAATATGAGATATAAGTCAAATAGAGTTTTATGTTGACTACCTCAAAACCTCTAAAATGATAGTAATGTGGTGAACAAGAACACAAACTTACAGAACATTTTACTAAAACTTGAGAACCATACAGTATATACTTCATTTGAAAATGTTAATCAATTGCCACAAACTTGACTGTTCCTTTTGCAAATATCAGTCAATCGTCTCAAACTTTAATGATCCTGCATTTCTATACTGATTGCTTTCTGTTCCTATTCTTTCCTTCTCGATCTTCTTGAGCTTCTACTGTCAGACATTTTATTCCTGACTAGCGTTATATACTACTTATATCGATATAAGTAGCTCACATCACAGTAACTTTATATATCACAATTTTAATACATTTACTTCTATATTTCAGTCAAAAGGATATCCTAGAACCATTATAAATTTCAAAATAGATTATAATACTTACACCAAGTGAATGATAATATTGATACGTTGCTATATTATCATATAAACTTGCTGTAAAATTTTCTTTTAATCTAGAATATTTAATTAATATACGTATACATTGAAAACTTGAACGATCTTTTGAACATTTATTTTCACATTTAACAGATGATGATATTAATTTTGATTCAATATAAGTACAATTCGTTGGTAAAAATCCCGATTCATGACGACATGGTAATATAACTAAATGTATTAATATACATTCAATGATAAAACATGTTGTAATAATTGTAGCACATGTTAAATATATTAATTTTATACATGTTTCATGATATTTATGCTGTCTACCTTTCCATACTGCATGATGATGATGTTGATGTTGATGATGCTGATGATGTTGATAAGGATGGGAATTTGTAACTTTATTATGATTTAAAATAGAATGAGACTGATAAATTCGTTGAGAATGTTGATTAATATTACTATTATAAGGTGATTGAAATCTTTCAAATTTCTCTTCAACTAGTTCTTCTTCATTATTTTGGTTATTGAAAGAAATTTCTTGTACTTCATGGGTGAAATCATCCATTTTTGGCAATCATCATTTGTTTTTCTTCCAGTGTAAAGTTTAATATTTATTATTATTATTATCCTTCAGTATTAGTCTCATCCATTCTTATATATCAAGGAATCAGTAATACTATAAACATACGTGATAAATACTAATTTAGTATTGAGTTAACTAACTTCTTTAAATGACCAATCAAAATAGAATTAAAGAAATTCACTTCTGATTGGTTTAAGTGTAATAATAATATTATTATTTAATAGTTGAATTCACAAGTCAATTAGTTAGACCACCATGAAAAATTTGGAAGCACTAAACAGTTGTTTTGTCCTAGTATAGGACTCTTCAACAGTACACATCTATTGTGGTTTTCTATAGTGGTCTAGCTTTAATTTAATTCATGAATTCAATTATTAAATTACTACAATCTCCAAAAAAAATCCCATTTTCTGATAACACTATTATTTCACAAGTTGAAATCATGAGTCAATTGGTGGTCTAGCTTCAATTGACTCATGATTTCAACTTGTGAAATTTCTAAAAATCTCCACAAAACCCATTCTGATAACGCTATTATTATTGAAGAGGAAGTATAGAATACAATGGACAGGTTGGATGCAACTAGATGATTTAGGCGTTTCAAATGACCTGAGTTTTCTATCCCATACACATGAAGAAACAGAGATCAAGACAATCACTATACTAGAAGCCTGTGCATCAGTAAACTCTTTAAACCCCTATAATAATGATTTTTTTATATATTTTTATGTCTATTACATATTGACATTGAATTCACTTGGTGTTTTTTGTTTGAATCTTCCAAGTGATGTGTTAAGACTGGAATTGATCAATCTTTTATTGACATATGTACATCCTGTACGCATTGTCTCGATACTGCCATAATTCAGGAGTATTATAAGCAAAGATTGATGATGGCTAGTAGTAAAATTCGGGAGACACGTTTTCTTTCATTTGGGATCCGTCAGCTGGATGTATCTGTATTCGTTTCGATGTCCACTCTGGGACTCGAACCCAGTACCATTCATTTCAAACGCTATCGCGTAATCCACTTAGCTACTGAGTTCTGATAACCGTTTACTTGTGCAGTAGGGTGAAGTTTAAATTCACTTGGTATTGTTTACGTGAATATTCTCATTGATGATTTATGACTGGAATTAATCAGTCTCTTATTGATATATATGTATCCTGTACGGATTGTCTCGATATTGCCTTAAGTCACAAGTATTATAGGCAAAGATTGATGGCGGCTAGTAGTGGAATCCAGGACGTACGTTTTATCTTATTTGTGATTCTTTAGACGGGTGCACCTGCAACTGAGTTGATGTTCAATCTAGGACTCGTACCCAGTACCATTCACTTCAACGCTATCACATTACCCACTTAACATATCAATATTGTTTATGAGAATTTTATGTCATAATCTATATAAGACTTAAATAAATAAAGCATTTATAATTATAAAATAATTAAGCTCATCAATAACTCATTTATTCATATAGTTTATTAAGTAGGATAATAAGTTTATTAATTTATAATTAATAATAAGTGTGACATACTTATTTGTTTCAACATTATAATAATTAACACTGTTTTTTATACAAGAAATTAATGTTTATTCTAGAAAAAGGAAATAAAATATAAAAAGAAATTTCCTCAGTGTAAATTAAAGTTATTAGGTCAAGTTTAAATTAATGAGTGAGTGAGTGAGTGAGTGAGTGAGTGAGTGAGTGAGTGAGTGAGTGGGTGAGTGAGTGAGTGAGTGAGTGAGTGAGTGAGTGAGTGAGTGAGTGAGTGAGTGAGTGAGTGAGTGAGTGAGTGAGTGAGTGAGTGAGTGAGTGAGTGAGTGAGTGAGTGAGTGAGTGAGTGAGTGAGTGAGTGAGTGAGTGAGTGAGTGAGTGAGTGAGTGAGTGAGTGAGTGAGTGAGTGAGTGAGTGAGTGAGTGAGTGAGTGAGTGAGTGAGTGAGTGAGTGAGTGAGTGAGTGAGTGAGTGAGTGAGTGAGTGAGTGAGTGAGTGAGTGAGTGAGTGAGTGAGTGAGTGAGTGAGTGAGTGAGTGAGTGAGTGAGTGAGTGAGTGAGTGAGTGAGTGAGTGAGTGAGTGAGTGAGTGAGTGAGTGAGTGAGTGAGTAAATGTACTTCCTTCTTAAAGTTAATTTAGTTTCCTACATGAGTTCTTAATTAACTATTTTGTTTTTCTATTTATTTATAATGGTTCATAGATTTTTCTTGTTAGAAAAAGTAATACACACATTTTATCAACACTGAGATAGTTTCACATTTTCACTAACAAATATTATTAATGTTGAATAAGTTAGTGGCTATATGAACTGATTAGTTTAAAGGATAACAAACTGAATGTTTGATACAGTAATTACTACTGTATGAATTTCAATGTAAATATCAACAATGAGATATAGATATATCCTAGTTAATGATTCTTGAATAGGACGAAATGAACATTCTAGATTCCTCTACTAATCATAATATAGATATAATAAAATATCTAGTAATAGGTCATAGTGAAGCAATTGAGTTAGAATATACAGTTCCTGATAAAGACTAATTGAAAATTTGCTAGACCACCGTTGAAATTTGGAAGGACTGAAAGATAGCTGTTTCGTCCTGACGTAGGACACTTTAACAGGGCGTCTTCACGACCCCATCACAGGAGAAGTGAGTGTGAACGCTTAATCTCTAGATCGTTAGTCCTGAATCCAAAAGTGTATATGTCTGAATTCAGTCGATTTGCCGTAATAAGCAGCCATCTTTCATTACTTGTGGTGGAAAACTGTTTTACATTTGATACGGTTGAGCCTCACTGGTGGTGGGTTTAGTCTCCATTAGGAGGGGAGGTCGTGAATGCGCACTACTGATGAGTCCCATACCATGAAAAATATCTGGCCAATGCTTTCCGGTTTTTAATAGCGGTTTAGCTAAGACCACTTAGTGATATAATCCATGAAAAACTATATGTTGACTTATGTGAAAAATCTTCAAAATAGACGGAAATGAAGATTGATGTGGGAAGGCACTCATTAAAATCTAGAGAATGGATAGATTAACAAAGTAAAATGAGTAAAATTTACAAGATTGGTGAAGGTGAAAGGAAAACGTGAAGATGAAATACGATATTGCACAGTCACATATCGTAAACTGAAGTCACTAGGGTAATGCAAGATTGACAACAGTTTCCTTTCGAATGTCTAATATCAGTTTCATTCATTCGATATAGAAAGCTTCAGGAAAACAGAATAAACTCGAAATTGTTTGCTTATTGATCATTTAAAAGATCCAGAAATACTAATATCATATTTCCTACTCAACAGACGGCGAGCGATAAAGCTGTTAAATGTATATTGACTTTCTAGTTTTAATTGTTGTGGAATGTGCTTTAATTTGAAAACAAGAATCTTTATATCTATCCTCAAAATGTAAGTGCTTCAGCACATACACATATACATAAGCTTGTAAATCTAACTGGAAGTAAAAGAAGATTGGGGTTTGTCCGCTTTTATCTGTCACAGTGAGCAATTTGTTTACTACAGAAAAACCGATTTAGCGGCTTGATGCGTTCCTTTCAACACAGTACTTAGTACAAAATTAATCTTACCAAAATTTTCATCATCTTAGAGGCTGAGTCATAGAAAGGTTGGTAACACATAACTTTTCCTTCGTTCTTGTTTTCTTATAACCACGGATGAACTTTTATGGGTAAAGTATTAGTAACTTGTAAATTAGATAGAAATTATGGTCACATATAGCTTAAGATCATTAAATTATATTAAGTGGATTTTGTAAATTCATTTCTGTATAACGGCAGTAGAATACTAACTAAAATATGGTTTATACGGGAATTTTATTTGATCACCGGATATTTTAATTAGAAACCCTTTATACGAAGAGATTTATTAAAGTCATATCAACATAAAAAGGGATGAGGAAGTATCCAAATTTCTGACTTCACAATAAGTTTTCTTCTATAGTTCCTTAGTATTACTATTGTTGTCATTACCATTATTATTAATACTGTTTAATATTATGGTTAACAAATAATGTCTAATAATTATCAGAAGAAAACATAAACATAATCGACTATCATACGAAATTAAAAAGTGAAGTCCCATACTACTATTCATTTACACGGGCAAACTAAATTTTGAGACATAAAACTAAGACAATAGCAGGATAAGAGTAGTTGATGATTTACCAGCATCAATCAGCTCCTAGATAAACCCAAACTACTTTTTGATAACGTTATTGACTACTTGTAAGTAGTCGTTGTAATTAGCAGAAGTAAAAATATAGATAGCTATAGAAAAATTAACATTTTAAGCGGTATTAAATAAAAATCCCAAAAATCTACAGTTATCGTCTTAGAGTTTGTGTGATTCTTATTGAATTTGTATAGGTGTGTATGTCTCTGTGTGTGTGTATGTGTGTGGAACCTCTCTTGTATGTTCTATACATGGTAATGACTATTTATATTTATCTTCTCGTGTATTCACATCATTCTTTGGTATTACAGGAGACTGGGATCATTCATTTTGCTAAAACAATGTAGTTTCTTTTTAGTCATTTCTGTTGGAGGAGTCCCAAATATATCCCTCCTCAGCATTTTGTCCAATCAGCGTCGAATGAATTCTTCACAGAAACATCTAGAATCATGTGCCACTACTATACTACCACTATAATTAGAATAGTTCCTGAGATTTTACGAAGTGTTTTTTTACTGTTTACAAGTAGTCAGCTTCTATCCCTTAAAAGTTAATTAACACATGTTTTACAACTCAGACTGTATAAAATTTTTACAAACTGCTATCTAAACCGACGATCGAGTTAGTTGATCGCTAACCTACAAAGAACAAACCAGCTTCCATCTGAAGAGGAAATTCGGAAAAGATGGTTCTGGTAAATAGGATATACATTATGGAAATCATCAAACTGCATCACTAGGCAAGCCATAACTCGGAATCCTGAAGGAAAATGGAAAAGAGGAAGACCAAAGAATATACTGCGTCAAGAATTGGAAGCAGGCATGAAGAAGATGAATAGCAACTAGAAAGTATTGTTCAGGACGGACGGTCTATTCTCCTCCACGATGTGCAACAG